AGCAAGGGCAGGAGGATACCTGAGGAAGACCCAAGAGCTAAGAGAAATAACTGGTGCTTTGCTCCTCACAAACGAACCATGTCACACTGTGAGCAAGCTGTGTTTAAAGCCAGCACAAATTCACTATGCCCTTCTGTGAAGCCCAAGGGAGGGAGTGCCTGTGTCTCTGAGGCAGGGGGAGGTGTGGGGACTGGAGAGGCAGAGGAAAGCTCTGTGGGGCAGGAGGGATGGGGCATCCCGCTGGCCTGCTAGAGACAGGCATAGATCGCACATCCATACCGAAGTTCAGGATAAACGTTTTCCAGGTACCACTTGAAGCTGTGGCATTTCAACCTCTTCCGCAGCTCCACTCTGCTCTGGACACTGTGGGAAGAAAATATCATAGAGATACAGTGGAAAACATGAAGGCGAGACCCAGCACACTAAAAAGGGAGGCTGAGAGAAACCCAACAGATATGCACTGACAGCAAACACAAGAGCATCAGCAGCTCTATTTTCTGGTATCTTCTGAATGAGCTTGGGAGGTCATTTTGATCTCTGTCTCTTTGGAGGTCTCACTTGGTAAAACGGCATGATGACATATTGCCATTTTAACAGGGAGCCTGGAGGTTGGTGGATGAAAAGGTTCATGGAAAAGTAGTCATTTAAAAATGATTAGTAAAAAAATGTATGCTATCTACTATATGCAATAAGTATTTATTTAATATATTAATGTACGAGGAAATTAATATATGCTATTATAAGTTACTCTTAGTTTACAGGACTACAGAAAGCCTTGATTTCCAAGAGCACATAAACACACCTTTAAGCCAGCAGAAGTTAATCACACGGTGAAATACTTCTTTCTTTCATGAACCAGGGCAAAATTTCTGCCGAGGGATCATGCTGTATAGTGCCATTTTTCCAAATTCCAGCTCCTCCCTGGGCCAGCCTCTGCCCGGGGAGCTGTTACGAGCTGGCATTTAGAGAGCAGCAGGAAGCCTCCAGTACCTTCCCTTCACATAGTCTACCTTCTCTACACCCTCCTATATTTCGCAGGACAGAGCTGCTACTTCAGCCCATGCTGATGGATGGGAAGAGGGTATGAATTCAGTGGAAATAGGTTAGTCATCAGGATTTCAATTTATTTATCTTAGAAATTGAAGAGTAGCCGGAAGGAATTTGGGGTTGGATTTGGAACCAATCCAAATCTGGCTGCGGTCCAAAGGAAACTTTCTAAGGAAAGGAAGAGCATATGAAAATGAGAAATTAACACAAATATGTACAGTCCTCCTGACAGGGAGGCGTTTCTGACTGTTCACAGAATGAATGGCAAACTCCCTGAATACAAAGCACTTGCTCCTTTCCAATAAAGCCTTAGTGGGCCCAAAATATGATGATTTTCCTGCCTCTCAGCTGCCAGTGAGACTTCTGGACTCTCCCCCACAAACTCCGCTCTGGAACCAGAAGTACTTGTACCTAATGCCAAGGGCAGGACATAGGCAGAGGGGGTTTTCCCCCACCTCGATTCGGTTCACGCACTGGGATAAACTAGCACAACATATAAACTAGCTGTTTATATGTTTCATTGCTGTGCTCATAGCATCTGCCTACCATTAGCATTTAACTGAGCGTTACTACAGAAACAACAGGCGGGTTTCCGCAGCGGGGAGACGTCACCGTGAACACCCACTGCAGCAGGCAGGGCACAGGCAGGGCACAGGCAGCAAAGACACTTACTTTCCATAAGGTCTCCCTTGGGCTGCGGGACGAGCCGCGTAGTAATACTGCTTGAATTCATCCATCCACACCTCTGCGGTGCGCTTGGTGTTTCTGAAGGAGGCAATGAAAGACAGGTGGAACCAAGGAAGCCTCCGAGGTGACATTTTCTAAAATGCATTGACTATTCCACCCCGCTCTCCTCCCATCCTCAACTTGGTCTTTGGCTTCATCCAAACCACCTTTGAACCAGCCCAACCCTCCCTACCAGAAAAGATACTACTCCTCCTCCCCATTACTCCAGGGACCAAACAGAAAAGGCAAAAGCTTGGGTGATGAATTCACCATTTCAAACTCAGCTGGATGCTTTGCATCCACCAGACTCAGAAGTGCAGCTTCTCTTAAGCGTCATCTCCCTGGTAGGCGTGCCTGGGGTTTTACTTAGCAGCTGAGAAGGAGCTCTGAAAAGTGGTGCAGAATTTGCTAAAGATTGAAGGCAAATATTTCTCTTACATCAATCCTGTATGGACCCTCTGCTTTGCACCCCTGGATTTCACTGAGGCAAATGTCAGCATGCAAAACTTAAGAGAAACCACCCCGGCCACAGTGCTGTAGCATAAATGTCAGTCTTTCACATCAGCCAGGTGTCTGCAGAAGGTTTATGGACCTCAGGAAATCTTCTGTGGACTTCAGATGGCTCTAACTCTCCTTGCAAACAGTTTTGTTGCTCCATGCCCACCCGCCCATCCCTAACCAGGTCAGGGGAGTCCTCCAAGCTCCTGCTCCAAGGCAGGCCAGTGCCTCCAAGCTATTGCTACCACACCACCAGGCTGCAGGTGCCACAGGGCAGGCTCTGGATCCAGCCAAGTCCCATGTGGCCAGAAAAGGAGATAGTCTGCATGTGAAGCCAGCACAACACTGGAGCCTGAGCTGTCTCTTGCACTGAAGTAGAGGCTGTGTGGAAAAAAAATCAGTATCTGGCAGAAAGGTGGAGATTTTTTTTGCTAATATCTCTGTTTAAACAGAGGTACCACATAGCATCAGGCTGCCAGAAGCTGCTTCTCCTCTCAGTCTATATACTAGAACATTAAGTTAAAGGCTGATAGATACCATAAGGTTAATAAAATCCCAGCTCCTAATGCCTACAGACATGTTTCTCCAGACCGCTTTTCAGTCCCTTGCTGATTCGTGGTGCTTCTTCCTCTTCCTCTAAGGCCACTGCAATAGTCTAAGTGCTCTTGCTCGAGAGATGCCGAAGTCACAGTGTCTACATCTGTATCTAACCTTCCCCAAAGTTCAAGGGTTTTTTGTCTTGGCTTCCTGATCTCATTTGGGTTTACAAGAAACATGGGGACAAATGCCGAGGCTCACACCTAGGTGTTGATTCAGACCTCCCCAAAGTCCCTGTGTGCCTCTGCCTGGGGTGCAGCCAGAAGAGCCGTACCCATTCAAGCTCCCCTTGCTCCTCCTGCAGGTGATGCAATGCAGACGCTGCCTTTTCACTCAGGTTTGCAGCGACTCTGATAGTGGAGATTTTGCCACATCTCAGCCTCTTCTGTAGGAGTCTTATTTCACTACTGAAAGCAAGAGCCCTCCTCATGACTCTCAAATTTGTGCACTCCTCCTTGATGCCAGCAACACCCTGTGCCCCTCACTGCCGTCTTTTTGAAGCAAGGTGACAAGGTCCCCTTCCTGCCCCACACGCTGCATGGCTGGAAATCGTGGATTAGATATAACCGAGGGATGTAATTTGCACTCCCCCAGTTCGTTGTCTCATGCAAAGTGTGGGGAAGCTGCAGAGAGCCCAGGTCAGTGGTAACCCTGCCGCAGGCGGCTGGGTCTTCACAAATACTGTTGTCGGCTCTTTATAACACTGGGAAAGCCACACTGAAAGGAATGCCTGGTGTGTAAACACACACAAATGCAGTTCAGCTGAGAAACAACCCTGCATTAAGTATAAGTGCCCCCGGTATTTTTCCCTGTCATTTACTTAATGGACAACCTTCACCCTCGTGCTCTAAAAAAGGAGGAAATCCTTCCTGACTTCACTAGCTGCTCCCATCATCTTCCCCATGCTGATTCCCACTTCTGGACTGCCTCCTTCCTTGCCTGCTGTTTCCAGGATCTTAGCCCATTTCAGCCAGCCGTTTCAGTACCTGATTCGGTCTATGTTCCTGTGTGTGAGGACAGGTCTCCCCTTCAGCTAGGATGCCCTGGCAGTTCCTTCAGTGTCCCCGGCAGTGAGGTGCAGCCCATTGCTGCCTCTGCTCGAGAGACAGCACCAGCCCAGAGGCGAAGCCACCCACTCCAGCACGCAGCTCGGCTCCCCTCTCGGAGGGGCATCGGGAACCAAATTTTCTGGTTCAGCTGAGCCATGCTCAGCCCTCAGCTAAGGTCACTGGGTACTGACAGACATTGCTGGCAGCCTGATTTCAGGTCATTATAAATGCGTTCTGATGACCTTAGGGTCTAAACCATCTGCTGTTACGGTAGCTAGTGCTCAGGGAGATGCTGGGGCCATCCCTCCATTTCTGTGCTGATGAAAGGTACCATATAAGTGTCCTATTTCTGTCATATTCTCGACACTGTAGAAATCCTAAGGGAGAGTCATACTGACTTGCATTTTCTTCGGCTCAGGAGATTCCTGCCCAGGGATATTTCAAAGTTTTCCAAAAAAACTTTCCTCCCCGTCTTCTCCGCTCCCCCATCCCCACAAGGCAGCACCCTATTCCGTTTCACAAAAAACAAAGCAACCACAAAACACCTACTTAATGTATGTGTTGGCATTTCCCTCTGGAAAGACATACGGATGTTTCTTCCGGAAGACATGTCCAACGCGGCTGCAGGGGATGATTTCCAGGCTCCCTCCACACATCCACACACGGAAAGAGATTTCTACAAAAGAAGCAGCTTCAGCATTTTGTCCTTCTGTCCTACAGCAGGCTGGATCCTGGTGTTACCTCTCACTTCATCCTCTGCCACATTAAACTGGGGTAAATCAACTACCAGAGAGGCTTTCCTGGGCACAACTCCCTTAAAAGAGCATTTCAAAGCTTCTTGCGATCTGCTTGAAGTCAGTGCACTTGATACCTGCCAGTAGCACAGCAGGTGCTATCACAATGACAAGAGCGAGATGGTAAGTCAGTCCCTTTTCATGCAGCCCCGCTTACATCACAGAATCATCTTCCCAGTTTTGTGCTCCCCTAATTACTTCTGCTCTGCCTATTTCAGAGTCACTTCCCTCCAAAGGGCTGTCAAGTTCACCAGGAGAGGACATGAATTCAGTTTATTAATGGTCATTATCTTTATGAATCCACCATTGATTCTGCAAAATGAACAGAGAGCTGTGCATCCATCACCTGTCCCAAAACGGACAGGAGCTTACCCTGCCCAGCACGTACTCCAGGCTGTGAGGGCCAGCGTTGCGGACCAATAAGTCACACAAATTCACACAAGCGAAGGTCAGTGGTGGGAGGGATTATCCCAAAAATCTGCATAAGCTGTCAGTATGGGAAATATCTCCTGGTTGCCCCAAGCTGCTCTCTGGCTGGTCCACAGGGCCCTTCTGGAGGAAAACAAGCCTGTGGCACAATTGACACCAGAAGTTACAGGGCTCTTGGCAGGGAGCTGGATGAAATCCTAGCTGGCGAGGTAGGATGGGTGAGCAGAATGGCTGATCTAATGGGTCCATCTGGTCCCAACGCCTGTGAAGCTATGAATCTGCGGCTATATTGTCAGACAGTCATGATTAGACAGAACCAGCACGGAAAAGATAGGAAATTAAAATAAAAGGCTTCTGCAGTTCTTTGCATCCTATTTTATCATCTGTTGACAGTATAGAGCTACAAGTAGCATGTATTTACTCCAAAACTACAAATTCCTTTTCACCACCCACCCCCCATTTAACTACAGAAGTCAGACAGGAGGACACCCATCATCTTTGCCAGCTCGTGCTCCTGGCAGTCCCCTCACATACAGCACAAGGACGACTTGTCCCCAGGTCGGACGCTGGCAAGACAAGCGCCTGTGGGAAGGCCATTTGGGCAGCGTGGACATGGGGGCACTCCTCCTCCTCCAGCAGCAGGCACTGCCGGCCTGCAAAGCTGCCATCCCTCCAAAAACAACTCACAGCTTCAGGGAGCAAAGCAGAATTGGAGCCCGGATCTCCAAAGCCACCTACTCTCAGCACACACGGCTCAGCCACGAGGTGCAGGTCACTGCAGAGGTGGGAGCCGGCTTCACAGCGCTCCCAGCCCTGCTCCCAGCATGCCCGCCTGCTCCTGAGCTGATGGAAACGGGAGGCTGGCACAGCTGCAAAACCCTTTCACCCTGATGCCGGGGTCCAAAATTCAAGGCTTGAGCCCATCCCCAACAGCTGGTCCTGGCAGCAGGGGCCAGCAAAGGCTGGGGTGAGAAAGCATAGCAGGGAGGAGAGGCGTTTCCTTCCAGAAATGCCCTCCCCTTCCCTTCACTGCCGTGTTTACAGGCAAGAGCTGCAACAGCAGCTAGAGCCTCACCACTTTCCCCAGTGCTGGGTATTAACAGGCCAATAAAACGTGCCCTTGTGCCGTGTCCTGGTGCTATATTGGGAGCAGCCTTAATCGCAGCTGCAGGGAAATGAGATTACGGCAGGATGTGGCCGCTTTAAACTGCTGCACTTGGTTCCTGTCGCACGTGGCTGTTGCTCTCATTTGCCTGTGTGTCACAGCGCCGGCCACACTGCCAGCGATACTAAGTAAATCAGAAGGGTGCCCAATAAAAGGGGACGATCAGCCGAGCAGCTGTGAACTGCAGCATGGCTGCTGCGTTGTGCCTTACCCTCCTCTGGTCCTTCTGCTCAGCCCAGGAGAAGAGCAGCTCCCTGAAGATCAATGAGGGAAAGACCTGCATGGTTCAGTCCTTGCCTGCTCTTAATTTAAAGCCTAATGAAGAGGTGAGCTGAGGTGATTTCTGTGCACTGCGAACTGGAATGAAAACACAGTCCTGGGGAGGCAGGAGATGGTGAGGAGCCTGAGCTCTCCGCTTCAGACATGTTGCACCCTGCAGACCCTGCTCCAGTCCCAGTGGAGGCAATTAAAGCACAGCTTTCTGCAGGTAGGGACTACCCACAGAGCTATCCATGGCAGCTAACAAACAGGGTCTCCAGACAGGCAGCTGAGAGCTAAATGCCTCGAGAGGAGGTAAACTGAGGCACCAGTGAAGGCATGGCACGGGCGCCCTCAGAGGAGCCAGGGGAGCAGGAACCAGCAGCGCCCTTGTCCTGGCCTGCGAGGGATGTCTGCAGCAGGGGTGGCCCCTCCGAGTGACCCCCAGGAGAGGTGCAAGCAGTATGCATTGGGGTGCACTGGGCTTCGCCTTAGCTTAGCAAAATACCTGTAGCGCTTCTTGCTGGCCTGCAAGTCCTCTGCCATTACTCATCAATTCACCTACAGGGGATTAAGTAAATTTAAGAAGTAAAACACCTACAATATCCTCCTTCTAACCCAAACACACTTGCTTTTGTTTTATCTGAAGTCTCCAGTCCTCTCCAGCTGCCCAGTCAATAACATTAAAGGCAGCAGCGATGCCCCCCAGGACCAGAATCCTGCATCCCCTCAGGACTACGCTACCAGAAAAAGCACGGTTCACTGCAAGCGCCCAAAATGAGCAGCCAGTCGCTCAGCTCCTGCCCTCTGTCACCTGCCCAGAACTGACCGGGGCCAGCAGGGTCACAGCTGCCCTTGCCTGTGTGCGAAGGAGAGGTGGGACACACTGCCCTCGACTGCTGCGCCTGCAGGAGACGTATCTTTGAGCCGGGCACGCTTCTGCTCTCAGGGTGATGGGCAAGACGGGATCTACCCTCCTGCTATGCAAACCTGCACTTTTTTGTCACAGCATTAACCTCCTGGCCCCTTTCTCGCCTTTTCCCTTCGTCACACCGATGCCCTGAGGCAGCGTTACACCCCGCGGCACAGCCAGCGCATGCTCAGTCGGGACCAGCCTCCGGGGGCATAGCACCAGTAAGGGAAACATGGCGCTCCCTAGGATAGGCCATAACCACACGTAAGGAGCACAACGCCTGCTGTTGCAGGGCTTTGGACAAGCTGCCGGGATAGAGCTTCCCCGGAGGGCAGGCTGCCCCGTCACCGTTCATCTCCCAGGAGCTCGTGCTGGCTGCTGTCAGGGATGAGTGATGAGCAGAGACGGACAGCGGGTCAGGCGCAGGAGAGGACCTCTCCTCCTGTCTAGTTCCCTTCTTGAATGCTTTGTCTGGGCCATTGATCCAGCGGGGGAGGTGGGAGGGCTGCTGCTCACTCCTAGGTTTCCTCAGAGCCACCCCACTCAGAGGAGCAGATGCTTTGGGTCAGACCGGTGGCAAGACACCCACCCACAGAAAGAATGCACGAGGGAGAGAGATCCTACTGCATAACAAGATATAAATAAATAAAATATGCTAGAGGAAAAAGGCATGTGAAGGAAACTACAGTGCCAGGCAGCGGATGGGTTACTGCAAGGCGGCAGCATCTGTTCCCTTGGATGACTGACAGCATTGCTGTATGTGTTAAGACACAAAATCCTTCCTTCCTTGCTAGCAATGCTCCCCAGAGGTGCGAGCTATTAAAGCCGGGTTCTGATCTGTCTCCCTGACATTGAGTGCCTCCCCCTTCTTTCACAGATACAGTCTATTGCTCTGATCTGCAGCATCACTACAGCTTCAAAGAGAGAACAGCCCAGCCTGATCCAGCTCTGCTTGACACGGGGGACAAGGGACAGGCTGTTACCTCTTTCATGTGCCCTCTCAAGTTTGCATGCCGGAGATTTCTTAATGCCCAGCTTGCCCCGTGATAATGGGCAGAGGTGACTGAATTTAGGTCAGCTCTTAACCTTTCTTTTTCAGGCAGGAAAAATGATAGTGTCAAGGAAAGCCTGGCAGCGCTCAGCCATCTAACGATACAGGAATGGATAAGCAGCCGTGTTACTTTGCCACCTGCTTCCAGCATGCCGATGCAGCTACTGTCTCGAGCACTCTGCAAATCCAGGGAGGCACTGATGCCTCAGTTCATCGCTTCAAAATGCTGCCGTCAGACAATGGAATATAAGACATGTCTTTGCTTCATTAATGAGAAAATAAGATCAGGAAGGAATAGGAGGGTGCGTATGGTGTTCTCTCATCTGTTGGTAACACCAAAGCTGAAAATTCTGTGGTTTAGGGTATTTACCTATAGAAAATCAAAGCAGCGTGGAAGGCAGGGAGTCCCAAATATAAACAATTGCTCACTTCCCATCATTCATGGTTGTTGGATCCCTTACTCACCTGAGACCGTAACCTATGAATGTAAGTGAGGGAAACCATGCAGAACATTCAAAGCAAAATCCAAAATGACCTTGTATTCATCTGGCATGACTCAGGAAGAGAAGCCAACACAGCAAGGCGTAGAAGGAAGAAGAGCGACTCACCGAAGTTCTCCCCACCCCAGATGTCCATGGCACTGTCGTACTTCCCCAGGTGGTTGAACCAGGCTTTATCGATCACAAACAGCCCCCCGGCAATGATGGGAGTCCTGCAGAATGGGTAAGGGAAGAGGGGACACACTCTCAAACACTGCTGCAGCACCTGGATGCACAGAAGCAGCCCTTCCCTTTGCCTCCTCTTCCATCGTCAGGACATTACCTATGTATCTGCTTCTCACTAAACAAGGACAACACTCCTCAAAAAGCATCTGAGCCATTCTTTCAGCTGCCTTGGTATTTTGCTGTCAATCATAAATTGCCTGGCACTTAATAACTGGCTAATGCACCCGTCAGCACAGCTCCTACAAGCCCAAAGTTCACAGCCCTGATTGTAGGCTTCAACATCAAAAATGCACTTAGCGCTCAGGGGGTTATTCACTCAGACGGGCTTTTTGCCTGGAGGCAGCCTATTAAGAGCACCATTCCACTGGGGAGGGGAAGGCAGAGCCAATTCAGAAGGGCTTTTTAAAAGCCATCACTAGCTGTGTGATCTTTATTTCAAAACAGGGTTATTTTTCATTCTTTAGATTAGCTAAGAAAACTGCACAGAGAAGGTCCATGGAGGAGGGGAGGGCAGACCCAGAAGATAGCTTGAGGAGACTTGCCATTTTCTGGCACGAGTCCTGTCTCCATTCAATTGCAGACAGTGTGGATGCCTTAGGGAGGAGCTGGGGTGACTGCTGCGCCCGGGCGAGTCTCCGCAGCACCCTATGTGGCAGGATGACCAGGAACATGAGGCGAGTCTTTGGGAAGCCAGCGAGAGCTCCTGTTAACAACAGCATCCTAAGGAGCAGCAGTGCTTTGCTCCCCTGCGAGCTTTCTGGGGCCCTGAGCTTCCTCCAACACCTCATCTCCTCCATGCTGCACACCCCAGCGCTTCATGGCTGGGGATGCAGACACCAGCACTCGGCTTGCTGCCAGGAGAGATTTTCAGCAGAACGAGGGATTCCCTCTATCCCACAGCATGAGGATAGGTGGCAACTCTCCTGTTCAATTTTGCTATCTCTCCTGCACATCCTGAATTTGAGGAACCTTCAGCAAGGTCTGGAAGAGCAGTGCTGATCTGGAAAGGCTGGACTAGACACCATGTTTTATCAAGTGGGCTGAGGACACTGCCTTATTTTTAAGTGATAGCTGAGCTGAGAGAAGCAGGAGTCTAGAGCGCTGGGCTTTTTCCCTAACCATATTCAGCCTCCTTAGCACTACCAAAACACAAATAACCATAAATATACCCCTTCTACCTTTGCAGCACCCTCAGGCCTCACAGGGAGGTGAAGCTGTACTGCCAAACCCAAACTAGCGAAGAGCTCGCTATAGGTATTAGAAGTTCAGAGCTGTCCTGGAAGGAATATCACACTGCTATGGTGCATGGTGACACACATGAGGTCAGATGAGACGCCTGTCCTGCCCCACATTCCTCAGGTGCCTCCTTCCCTCTCTTGACTTACTTAATGGGTTCGGTGGGATCAAGTCGTTTGGCTTTCTGCTCTGGAGAAAGCTGCTCCCATTTGAAATGCAGACTCCAGTCAAAACCTAAGACCAAAGTAGAGAAGTACCACGGGGAAATTAGAAATGGGTATGGATTAGGAGGCAATGCAGGCTGCAGAAGCCGTGTTTGATGGAGTATTATTTTCCCCACTTTCAAATGACTGAAGCCATGGAGATGCAGCTCTTGGGAGAAGAGTCCAATGACTAACATATCTTACTACTGCATATGAACAAGAAACAACACATTGCATTACAACTGCAAAGTCAAGCACTTGTCAGAATTAAAGCTGCTGATGAAACCTTACTTCGTCCCCTTGTGCACACAGATACATACTCTGATGGTTATTGCACGCTACAAATAGCACAGGCATACTAATAAGCACTACAGTCGCATCCTCCATTTGTTGCCTGACATCCCCTGACTCCTCTTGTCAGCAGCCCGGCTTTCTGTGCTGCCAAGGGTGGCTTTGACATGACCCTTCTTTCCTGCTTGACCGCCTTATCCACTGCAGCAAACACCATTCCTCACGCCACACTTACCCGTCTCTAAAATAGCCTGAAAACAGCCAGCGGGGAGCACTGAACAGTGCTAATGCGCTTTTTGCAAGATAGCAGGAGCCAGCAGTGTGGTGCAGAGCCACCAGCTCCTCGGGCCAGTGCGTCCTCACACCACAGGACGGATGCCCACAGAGCATGCACACGGCTTGGACTCACCTCCTCTGAGGTCCGAGGAAGCCGCCACATAGGCAAAAGTGTCCAAGTTGATGATGTCAATAACAGGGCTGACAACTCGGGTGGGATCCTGGAAAGCAGAAGCGAAACGACCCATGACTTCAGATCACATCGCTCAAACTGGTCAAGGAATGCTCTAAACTCCTGAAGACACCAGGTGGCTTGAAATCTTGGTGTCATTCACGTTTGCCAGGGACAAGTGCCCATCACTGCCTCCTCCTCCTCAGCCATGGCATCAGTTCAACCAGGGAATTAATGGCAGCAGCACCGAGTGGCAGAGGTATTGCTGGGAGCCAGGGGCACGCCAGCGAGAGAGGCTGGGAAGGCAGGCACCATCTCTCCTGGGAAAGAGGACTCCGTGCTGCTGGGCCGCTGCGCTAGCATCTCTCACCGGCGTCGGCTTCACCCCCAGTCTCTCCCTCCGCAGGCCGTGCGTGTATTCGGCGCCGAACTCGGCTGGATGCAAAGCTCCGTCTGCCTTTTACAGATTCACCAATGTATTCCCCTTTCACCTCCCTTAAACACTTTTTACTGGATTTCACAAGTCAGGCGACAAACAGGCAGTTGAAACGACAGAGGAAAAACACAGGCAGTCAAGCAGCTTAAATACAGGCGTTTTTAAAATGCACACACTATGGGGATATAGTTAGAGTTTTGCCAAAGGTGTGAAAGGGTTAAAAAAAAGACCCGAATTATTTTAAGTAGTTGGTGGTGATTTAATTAACATCTTGTTATGGACAAAGAGATTATACAAACAGTTATGAACGAAAACATCTACAGGAGGAAGAGACTCTGACAGCTTTGACTGGTCTCTTATCTCCCTTTTTCTTTTCAAAAATCCCAAGCTCCAATTATAGCTCAAACTTCAAGCTTTTACCCTCGCCAGATCAAATAATTTTTCACAGCCATGCAAAGCAAAGCATCTGAGCACACACGGGCTTGCTCTCTCGCTCGGAAAAGACTTTGTTTTAGAAATTGGTCCTGACAAGGAAGTTCTCAAATGCAACTGTAGGAAGAAGCAACCAAAGGCCATGAGCTGGGAGCTGGACTAGAGCTCATGTTTTCCAAATGAGCATGACAAATACTTGGTATTTCCATAACAACGTCAAGTCAGGAGTCTTAACGTGACTTTCTGTGAGTCAAACAACCCACTGAAAGGGCAAGGTCTGCTGTACCTACATACCGCATCACGTCCAAGCACGATGAGCCTTTTAAACTCATTGTAGCTGCTGCATAGTGCCCCTCAGACTGCCGCAGCTCAGTACACCCAAGCATCCTTTAGTTGCCTGAGGGTAGGGGAAAGGTTCTGAGCAAAGTATCAGTTGGCGGCTGGTCACGAGCAGTGTTC